AAGAGGTGAGACTGCTATAGTATTAATAACAATAAAAAATCACTTGTATTAATCTTGTTATAGTTTGAATGTTGGCGCCTTGTATCTCCATATTGTGTACAGGGCGCTCTTTTCCATTCTTTCGTTTTTGTTCAGAGAGTCTTCCAAATAAGAAGAGAGCAGTGAATTAGTGATAGCAGTGAGAGTCTGACGCTGCCTGAAAGTTTTTGTGTTCAACCTTCTTGTGATAAAAAGGGACATTACCCTGTCTCGTTCTTTGTGATTTTCTCTACAATTATTACTGTGATTAAAATGGTAAATTGAACTGACAATGTTATTTATTTATACTGCTTCCATCGTATCAACAGAGACCAAACTTTTCTCTTAGTATTCATCTTCACAGTTGAAGTTGTGGGAGTGTTTGCCTACATCTTTGTAATTTCTGATGTGAGCAAGGGCTTGTGTTTTGTTGAATCTGATGCCATGTTCTGTCAGTGGAATATTCATCTATTACAAGTAGTTGGTTTTCTAGCCTAGTGTCTTTGATGTGACATCACTTTGTAAACCAAGGAACTTGTTCCTGAAGAAACTAATGGCAATGACATTATTCATATCAGTTAATCAGCTTATTTTGACGATTTTTAGTATCCATTAGCTATAAGCCACTACTTCATGAAACCAAAGATACCATTTAATACTTCACAGAACTGTTTCAACTATTTTTATAGATTGTTATATAAGAATTATAAAAGAGAATAGATTTTGGGGATTGCATGTGTAGTATAGTATAGTATAGTATTTATTGCATTCAAGCAAATCCAATTACAGGCCAACACCACTGGACACAGAACAAGTCAAATATCTTCAACAAATGCTCCAACAATGGAACTAGTCAACATAAAATATACATCAACCTAAAATATACATAACACTATACCATGTTTAATTGTAAATAAAATAAATTAAATTGTAATAAAAACACATTACATAATAAATTCATTCAACTTAGTAGCTTATATATCTCAAACCATAAAAGATCACAACATCCATCAACTATAATGAGGTATTTTATGCTGCTGGTTTTCAGGGGCTTGTGAAACAATGGGACAAGTGCCTCAGTGTACAGGAAGATTATGTTGAGAAATAAAAGCATTTTTCAAATCAGTACTCTTATTTGTTTAAGTTCTATATCCATTTGTAACTTACTTATTGACTTACCTATGAATGTAACATGTGCTTTTCCTGTTTAGGGGCTTTAAAGTTGAACATGTTTGTCAGTCTGGGAGAGTTCTTTTCTGTCGAATGATTATGTAGTGTGAGCAGATTTTCATTATTTTTCCGGATATTTGCAACAAATCCAGGTGAGTTCTTACTTGAGGTGCATGAAAGATCTTATTAGCAAATGTACAGTTCTTTCCAAAAGGTTTATATGTGAAAATTGACTTGGGAATGCATCTGTATGTATAATAATGGACTGTCCTTGTTTCCATGAGTGAAAGAAATATTTTCAGCAAATGTGAAGACAGTATTTATCAAATTAAATGGCAATTAATTCACGTTATTTCATTCCAGTATTACTTATGTTTACCGAGATAATTTTGCCTGTAAGCCACTTTAACAGTTGTTTCTTTCTACTGTAATTCAGGCATCCAAATTGTTTTTATTTTATTGGAATTCATTATTTTTTTGTTAAAATACTGTGACATGTTGAGCTATGGATCACCCCTACCTCCCCAGCGGTACGTGGCGGTAACGTAATGCTCGCGTTACTACAGTAATAGGCGAGTTCCCGCCCCGCCACTCCCCTCCGCGATGACGTAACGCGCAACGCTACGTACCCGTAATCAACTTCCTACTGTGACGTGGCACTCATTACACAACCGGCAAGCACTGCAGCTATATAAGTGAGCTGCACAGCTGGTACCAGAGTTCTACTGTAGCAGTCGGCGACTCGAGTTATAAAGTAACAGTCGCCGAGCGTGTTATCAACAGTTCTCCAGTCAGCGGACTACAGTTGGAGTATAGCAGCCGTCGCGGAAAGAAGAACCGGACGTGTGTGTGATTGTGTAATTGGGAGCGTGTGATACAGTGATACATAGCTCCCCTACTGTAAACGTGTAGACTACTGAAGACAGAGTGAACTGATTTGTGCATAGGGTTATAAGTCGTGAAACCCCGCAACAGTGTTAATAGATTAATGCGATTAGTGTTATAAAGTGTGAAACCCCGTAATATTGTGATAATTAATTGTAGCCGTTATTTGTAGATTGTTAAATAAACCAATTAACCATCTCTACGGCGTCTTCAGTAACGAAACACGTTACAATACTGTCACCTTGCTGCTTTAATAAGTTTGGCCAAGATCTTATAGTACTGTTTGTAGCTACCTGTTATTTGTGGATTACTTCTCTTTATACTATACTCGTACATGTGAAGGTCCATTTTATGTCTGCATGAAACAAATTCCTGTAAGTATTCAGAGATAGCAGTTCTCAAACAGATGCAACAGAAACCACCTGTATCCAGTACTAGAGACAGATATTCACAACTTCCTTTTCCTTTCAAATACAAATATCGCAATGGCTCTCTGCTGGTCCATTTAAATGCCATTGGCCTATTAACAAGTGGTTTGTTTTTCCTTATAACTTTCATAAAATGGAAAAAAACTTTGCTAAGTTTCAGTAACCTTGAAAAAATTACTGAGCACCAAGTGAGCCATAGGACTGGAACAGGTAAGACTACAAATGGCACATGATTGGAAAGGGAGAAGTTATTGTACAGGATCTGGCTGATGCACAGACATGACAGATGGTATAAGAAATGTAATTCAACAGAATAAATCAACACTAGGAATTACAACTATGTTCAGTCAACTACTGATAATATTGTAAGTTTTAAGGTTTTTGTGACAGTATGTGTTCAAACTGTAGTCTCCTAGATTGTGTCTTGTACATAAATGTTTTTCAGCTAGTGGGCTTTAACACACAGCGTGACAGGCTATGAGGTCTTGAAAATAATTACATTCTGGGCATCAATATACCCACTCAAGACTGAACCAAGCTTTACCAGTGAAAAATACAGTTTTGGGTCATAATACTGACTTACACTTCTCGCAAGAACCAGTTACAAAAATGTATTCCTCTTTGGCAATTGCCTTCTTCAGTTCCGTCTTGGGTCATAATACTGACTTACACTTCTTGCAAGAACCAGTTACAAAAATGTGTTTCCCTTTTGTAATTGCCTTCTTCAGCTGCTTGAACCTGTCTAATTTTATATGGCAATATACTCATACATAACTTTCTATTCTCTCACCATGCTGTTGTCAAAACGTGTACCTGTTGAATTAATCATGTCTGAACTTGTGTGGCAAATATTTTAATGTGGCCCCAATTTCATCAAGCTATTCTTTGGGGCACATGGTAGCATAGTTGGTTGAGGCACTATGCTACATGCCAGAGATCGCGGGTTCAAGTCCCGATTAGGTCATTGGATTTCTTTCAATTGACCTAATCCTTCCACCCACACTATGGCCCTGGGGTCGACTCAGCCACTAACAGAAATAAGTACCAGGAATATTCTTGAAATATTCTTGGGAGTAAAGTGCGGCCGGCGCGTTGCCGCCATTTATGAGCCGACTGTCTAGAAAATGTGGGAACCTCAACATCTCACAACCCTATGGCCTCCAAGGCCTGTTGCAGGGATACCTTTACTTTTTTTACTTATTCATCAGCACAGCATTCTAGTAATTTTCTGCATAAAAATATTCAGTTCAACGCACCTTCGCCAGTTCGAAAACAGGTAATGTAGTAGCTGGAATTCAGACGTCAGACACGTAGAGCGAAACCTTCGTTTACACGATTAATATATTTATTTTTCACATCAGCATCGTACAGGAACCCCGCCATGCAAGCGTATATTTCACCATCTCGATTCAGTACTGTGAATGAGGGCTTTAATCTGATTTCTGAATGTGTTAAGAAAACAGACAGGATGGGAACTGGTATTAATACAGTTATTTGCAGGCGCAGTAAGTGCCATACTACATAAACAATAACTGCGTAATAATGAAGCTGACGGGGTCTCCGAGGGCTCAGAGGCCTCTGAGCTTCCGCTTATAGCTAAAACACAATCTATTTCCACCTGCATGTTCTCGCAGTCGGAGAAGCTGCATACGGATTCTGTATAAAGGCTCGGTATAACACCACAGTACGTCTCTCAAGCGAAATATTTCAAAAGTATATCTTATCCGCAGATGACAGTGTTTTACCTGACGAATTGACCAGTACAGTCGGCTTTCTAAATCGTACCACAAACATTCGTGACAGCTTCCACATACGCCTTTCTCACTGAACGAAGAGTTCGTGTTAATTCTTACCGGCCGCTTTCTGAACAAATTTGCATGTCCTGTTTATACATTAATATTTTAAACTGTTAGATGAGCAGAGAACTATATTATTTTCCGTGACTCCTATATGAAAATATCAACTGGTAAGAATGAAGAACTTGAAATATCACAAGCGATCACAAGACTGAACACATAACGTTAATTAATAATTATTTTACTTCAAAAGATACTTGACCAGGGAGCCCTAACCTAAGCATCGCCATTTCATTGTTAATCTTTACTGAGTTACAGACATGAACTCTCAGAACATCGGGAATGTGGCTGTAAAAATGGCATAATACAGTCTTCACGTATTTCTGGTTCTGCATTCTGGAATATACGGACACAACATGTGAGAGAGGGCTCTAAGGTTTACTTCTTTGGGATCCCAAGATTGAGATAAACCTTCCCCCGAAACATTTGTAAATATGTGCGAGACTCCATTACGTAAAATCCCATTGTGACTGACGCGAGCCCGACAGAAAATGAAATTGCTTCAAATTTCGTTTCACAAGAACTTCACTGGCAGTATTCATCATTTTAGCACATGACGTAGAATTGTTCGCTAATTGGATGAGCGGCTAAGACCACTGACAGAAATAACTGAACACACGCTGTCCAATAGCACTGCCATCTGTGGATACACGTTGGTTACAAGTTTCATGTTGGTGTTCTCAATTGCTTTGGGTCTGAACAGTTTTGTGAATTTATTGTAAAATCTTCCAATATTCGGTAAGTATGAATGTTGTGGAATATTTTATACAAGTAGAATACAAATCTGCTTATGTTATCTGAAGCTCTGTGGAAGTCATTCTGTCATAATGCGGTTTGGTCCTAATGTTTTTAAAATCAACGGTCTACATTAGAGAATTTTTATTGTCACATCTGTTATTAAAATACTCAAGGAGTCGGTGTGTAAGTATTTGTTTATTTGACCGTTTTGAAAACCGTAGAGAAGCTACAGTATTGTAAAAATTTCTAAAATATGAACCAAGGAAGCGAGACGAGTACTGGCACAGTTAAGTTAAAGTGAACCTCTTGTGTGTAAACCGTTATTAATAATTTATTTGTTACTTGCAAATGCATTGCAGTTTAATAAAATACGTAGACAAGTTATCAGTGTAGTAAATTGGCAAAAATTAACTTTGATTCAGATGTTTTTAATGTGTACATAATTTCATTCTGAAAGAACATTTAATTTGTTGCCTAACTGGTTTAATATCATTTTATGATGCAATCAGACTTACTTTTTATTACTTCGCTTCAGTTACGTGATGGTATAAGCCATATTTCAATGGGATGTATATGGTAGCAATGTTAAATTTGGAAGTGGAGTTAATTTTTTCATATGAATACAGTATTCATGATAGTTCTCATATGAATTATTTAATTCCTCAGAATTAAGGCAGGATGCAAGATAAACATTTATTTAAATATGAATCCTTGAAGCAGAGAGAATGTGCATGTGTGTGTGAGGGGTGGAATGAAACATTGAACATAACCATTGAAGTCAATCCATTGGTGAAAGTACACATTCACACCACACAAGTCACAGAAATATAAACGTACTTGATTAACAGTTAAACCTACAGATGCTATAGACCTGGTTTTCCAGCTTTGTGGTAACAAATTTGTCAACATGTTTGGCATTTTGGTTTACAGAATGAGGAGTTTATTCCACTTACAGGAATGGTGAATATTATTACAAAAGTGAATAATAATGATGATGATAATTTATTTAACATCCAAAACTATTACATAGGCACAATTGCACAAGTAAGTTAAAGAACATCTGAACACAACATGTCAACAGCTCTTAAAAATGTCTAAAACAATAACTAATACAACTCCTTGCTATACCTTATCAACCACGAATAACAACACCCAGAAATTCAATACAAAGCAGTAAATAAACAACCAACAACACAAGTCAGCCATGTAAAACAAAGTATTACACATTTAGAGAAAATAACAGACCAAAGACCATCTATATACTTCCATATCATATCAAGACTATTTTTTTTTTAATTCAATTAATTAGGGGGGGGTCCTAATTGGGTCCCCTTGGCACTGCAGCCACTGATTGGCCTATTGTAGCCTGCTCTGGATGATTATGATAATGGAGAATTTGGTGGAATGAAGATTGGCAGGGGAAACCGAAGTACTCAGAGAAAACCTGCCCCAGTGCCACTTTGTCCACCACAAATCCCACTTGACCAGACCCGGGATCAAACCTGGGCTGCTGTGGTGGGAAGCCAGCAACTAACCACTTGAGCTATGGTACAGACTTGTATCAAGATTAACTTGAGTTACCAAAAAGCTCTTGTAAAGAATAAAGACAGTTCTGTAATAATTAAGTTTTTAATTTATTTTTAAAAACCCTAAAATTTTCTATTCTTTTTAGTTCAAAAGGTAAGTTGTTATGTATTTTTATTTCCTTGTTAATTACACTTTTTTGGCAATGAGCTGTGTTGCATAATTGGACTTACAAATCATGTTTCTCTTTTGTGTTCTACTTATGAATGTCGGAATATTGAGTCGTGTAGATCTTATTCTTTTTTGTAAAGCACAAGATCTCAAATATGCATAATGAAGTTACTGTTAAAATCTTAAAAAAATCACCAAACAGACTTCCACAAGAGACCCTGTTATTGACTCCCTTAATAAGTCTTAGACCTTTCTTCTGTATTTTAAATACTGCAATTGAGTCATTTACCACCCCCCCCCCCAAGAATGTAATACCACATTTTAGTATAAAGTCAAATTTTGTAAAATAAACATTTCTTAATACTGGTATACTTACTGAGTCACATAAGGATTTAATCAAATGAGGCTTTGGGTGTCTTGAAGCTGAGCTAGCCTGCCCTAACTGAACTTAATCTAACAGGAAACATACATATTTGAGAAGGAACACTATAATCTGTCTCATGTAGTGTGAGGAATGAAGTAAAGAATTTGGTAAGGGAAGGTAGATCAGATATAGCAGAAATGTATAATCCTTAAAATAAAAACTGTGCAAACACTTCTCATCCTAGTGGTTATTTATGGAAAACTAACAAATATATAAACACAGTAGTTTGGTTTGTTGTCAGTGAATGCAGTGAGAATTTTCTTGTACTCAGCATATGTGTACATAAATATTGTAAAATGCCTACTCAGTTTAGATTGACTCATCGGTTATGGGAATAGGACACTGGCTGTCATCGGAACTCAGCCAGATCTCTATTATTGGTTATGCTAACGTGTTATCAATGTGACAGTGCTCATCAATTTTTCATTAGTTTCACATGTTGCATGTTTTTCCATGTGAAAATATAGAAACCACCTGTAATTATTATGTTTATGTATTATATAAGTTAGTTTTTTTTTGTCTACTTGTGTTTTTGTTGTGTAAATGTGTGTTGATTTTGAAACTGTCATTGAACCAGACCCTTCTGTGATGAAACATAAGAAAAGAAAGCCACTGACAAGTGCTGAGAAATGGTGTGCTAAACGTTTCTTACAAACGTTGAAGATAATTTCCATGTTACACTGAATGAAGGGACAGATTTAGTGGATAATGCAACTGGTATGTCTAAGGCTAGTGTGTACCATGCTAGAAAAGAACTGAAAGGTGATGGAAGGCCCTAGAAGACAAAACTGTTGAGTGACGAACACAACAGGTTTATGAAATCTGCCACTCACAAGAAAAATGCATAATTTTCTTTTACCAGAAATGAAATTCTGACTTTGAATGAAATATTAGCTAGTGAATAGAAATGGCTATTTACCAGATTTTTTCTCATTCAACTACCTGCAGGCCTTTGAAAGTAATGGACTTAAAATTTATGAAACAAAATCACCAGTGTGGTTATTCAGTGAGAAGGATGAAATAAAATGAGCTATGAAAGGAACTATGCTGTGTTATATCCCAGAAAGTAGATCTCTGCACATTAATCAATTTACAGTCTGTATTTTATGTCGTACAGTGTGTCCACAAAGTCCCTTTGGGGTTTTGAAAAATTGTGGCATGCAAACAAATTGAGCTAGCCACATGCATTTTTGGCAGATTATAGTGAAACTCTGAAAGTTTTTTACTGACCTCAGTAGACCTTGATGTGGGATCCCTTGGTGACACAGAGAATGTTCAGATGATATTCGAGCTCTTGCCATGTTATGTGGAGCATGTCTGCTGGAATAGCCCAGATTGCATACCACAAATTGAGCACTTACAGCCACACATTCTGCAACAATATGCATGTTCCTAGACAGAACATTTCCAGGAAGATGGATCGGCAGAGACGGTCCAATGCCTTGGGCCCCACGTTCACCAGACCCAACACCACTGGATTCTTTCCTGTGTGGTTATGTCAAGAGCAGTTTGTTCCAAACACCAGTTAATGGACTTGATGACCTAAAGGCCTGTATCAGGAATGTTATCTCAGCCATTCCAGCGGACATGCTCCACAGAACATGGCAAGAGCTTGAATGTTGTCTGAATGTTCTCTGTGCTACCAAGGGAGCCCATATCAAGGTCTACTGAGGTCAGAAAAAACGTCCAGAGTTTCACTATGATCTGCCGCAAACCACGTGGCTAGCTCAATTTGTTTTTGTGCCACAATTTTTCAAATCCCCAAAGGGACTTTGTGAACACACTGTACCTATTAGTGTTTAGTTGCATTCATATATATGTCAGATGTTTCACAAGGAGACCAATGTTTTCATAATAAGCAATAATATTAAAGGTATATTGGGAGCTGTCAACATGACAATTCTCAGTATATTTTAACACATTGTGGACCGCTTGTTTAAATATTTAAATCACCCTGGGGACCGGGGTCTTTAAGCCTTGCACCCTAACTTATGCACTGTTCACTTTAAAAATTAATATAAAATCTCCTAATTAATTTTATGAACTAAAATTTTTGGAGAACACTTACCAGAGCTCCTAGAAGTGCTTGCGTATGTGATATCTCTGGAAACATTCCCCTTTGTGAAGAGGCATCACGCAGAAGTTGCAGATGTACGCAGTCCTACTCTTCTTCTTGTGGACTGCACATACGGCACTGCCTAGAAGGGTACTTCTTCTTGCAGTGTTCACTCTTCACAATTCTCATGAGGGTATGTTTCCGCATATCACCCGAGAGTTGTCCAAGGGGGTCCACATGAGGCCTCCAGCGGGTGTGAACAGATGGCCCCGGCTGCACTACGTCTGTGTCTGACGCAGGTACTGCCGCCACCGTGAGGTCAGTAGCCCAAGCTTTTGTCAAGTTCAACAGAAATGCTTTGTATTTCAAAGTAGAATTTCTGTTCACCTTTTTGAAAACTGAAAATGAATTGAAAAGTGCACAGTTTATAAGCCACAGTGCAAGTTTCTTCGTCCATTTTACTGTTTTCCTAGGAAGGGAATAATAGGCCAAGTACTTGTCGGCCCTATCAACTCCCTTCATGAACATATTATACTCGGAAATACAAAGAGGCTTCTTTACTTGCCCGTGGCGTCTCTGAACATCAACCATACTCGAATTGTGAATTGTGGAAACCATATTCACAACGTGAATATCCTTCCAGGACTGAAGAAGAATGTGCCCCTTCCTCCTGAATGTGGTGTCACCACGTTTCAGGCATTTACATTCCTCTTTCAGATCTGAAAGAAGGCCTCTGTTCACCCTAATTGTACCACAAATATGTACTTTCCTTGAAAGTAGGTATTCTGCATTTGCCACACTGTTGTAATAATTATTTTGATAAAC